AACCTTTTCCTAACCAAATGCTGTAAATTGTATGTCGTTTTAACTAAACTACTAAAGGTAGTGGTTAGTTTAATAGACTTGACCCTTGTCCTCTTTGTGCTGAGCCAATAACTGTTGTCAAGGGTGGTAACTGGGCAACAAATTGCTGGAGTCTTGAAGCTGGATGTGGAAATTCTTATTCCTCTCTCTGTTACAGATAAAAGCTGGGGTTCTCTTGCTGCTGCTAGAATTGCATGTGAGACAAATCTACTTTATTTAATTTGCCTTTGCCAATGATGTGTTTATGGGATGTTACTAGTAGTTAATGTATCTATTATTTTGTTAAGCATTTTGACAGAGTTACAGTTAAACCAATACTTTCCTTTTTATTTTGTCTGTATTTTAACTGTAGTGTAAAATAAAGTGTGTTTTGCTTAAAGTTGAGCAGTTTAACCAATCGAATTGCATTTGGGATGCAATGCCTTACACTTACCTTTAAAATAAGAAAATGTTAGGGTCTAGACGATCTTCTAAATTTATTTTGAGGGAGTTTGGTCTGGTCCATAACATACTTCTCTGGTAGAAATATGAAAAGGGATGGAAGGAAATAATGATGCTTGCTGGTTCATCCTTTTTTTTTCAGATCGGAAGAACGCTATGAATCTGAAGTTACACCCATCTGTTCTCTCCACTGATGCTAACTGATTTGCTGAGTTTTCAGTCTTTTCTAGTTTTGTTTATGCAAAAGAGTGGAGCATAGATTTGCAAGTACAATTCCAGAAACTACAAGGTTACAAGCTCACCATCAGGAATTGACACCAAATGGAAGCTAAGCAGTCCTGCACTTGCAGTTAAGGAGAAGAGTGTACAAGACAACCACTGGCAGAGGCTAATACCAGTATGTGCTGCAAATATTCAACACAGTGGTATTTGTGCAACCTGCAGGAGCAGTGAATGATTAAATGTAGCTCTTTCGTAGCCAGTAGCAAGAGGAACTTTAGCGATGGAGGTTTGCACACCCTCTCACCAGTCCTCACTATGCTCTACTAGATTCCAATGCTCCAGGATATTGACTTGAAAATCCTTAGCATAGCTTTCAAATTCTTTCACTTTATTACACTGCTGTTTATTTGCTTGCTTTGGAGGCAGCTGGATTAAGGCGAGGGGCTCTTAGATTGCAGAGATAAACATCACAGGTCTATCAAATGATTTCTCCAAATTTAAAGGCAGCGTTGTGGGGTGTATGCACACAAGTCTTTACCCTGATATGGACATATTCCTGTATCATTTCTGGAGAGACCAAATTCCACTAATAACGTTATTAACTTCTTCAATTTGCTCTAAGAGAAGCTCCCCAGTTGCAGGACTAACATCATCAAATCAATAATAATGACGCCGGAACAGTTGAGAAAAAAATTGCTGACCTAAAGAACTGCAATTTCTTCAATAAACTTCAACATGCATAGTGCCAATGTTCTAGCACTTCTTGGAAGATGAAATCAAAACATGAAGTGGCCATGATTGGTTCGCACCTCCCCTTCAAATCTGTTTTGAAATCAAGTGCACTGCTAATGTGCGTATGTTAAAGGATGGAGTGATTTTAGTGCAGCATTCTGTACTGTTATTCCATGGTCATGATAATATTGCTCCATGACAACTCTACTGCCTTTAAGCAGTTTTCAATAAAAAACAAAATCCATCTTTGATCTTAATTAAGGTTCAGCTGAGGCTCAGCTGGCAACACTTTTGCCTAGGGGTCAGAAGGTTGTTGGTTAAACAACTAGAGCCTTAAACACAAAATTCTTTGCTGACAACATAGATGAGGTGTCAAACTGGAGCCCCAACAGCCCTCTAAGGTGGATCCCATAGGACACTCTCAAAGACAAGCAGTGAAGTCCAGGGTAATCTCCTAAATCAACATTGGAGAAACATGTGATTTTGTCATGTTAAAATGATATTTGTGTGATCTTGCTGTGCCCAAAGTGCTGCTGTGTTTCTGACATTACAATAGTGACTACATTTCAAAATCATTGTTAAGGTACTTTGAAACAGCCTGTGGTCATGAAAGATGCAACATATGTGCATGCAGGCTATTATTTCTTTCTTTTCCCCACTCTCACGTAAACAATACAGACTGTCCACATGTTTCTCAGAGGGGAAGGGGAGAATAGAATCCTTTCATCCATGTGACTGATAACAGCCCTGGGGATGCTCAGACAGTTTCTGCATCAAGTACTGCCAGCTCAGGCATAGCTGGGGCAAAGCTGAAGCATTCAAGCAATCTGAAGGAGAAATTCTTTGAACTGGAGGAAATAAGGCAACTCCATGCAACATGTGTTTACATTTTAGTTAGTCAGCCTTTATGATTTATTTCTCAATGTTCCGAATATACCTGGGTCTCCACAGCCTGCTTCAGTTCTTCCCTAACCCATTGGTGACTTCTCATCTGCATTTTATTCCTTTCTAAAATGAAACACCCAAGTTGTATTCTTTTCTCTTAGAATTGTTCTATGGCTACAACATACAAATAAATACACATTGATAGCTTTCAGTGTACATGGTAGAGTCTAAACAATGTATTGTGGAGGTCAGTAAAATTTACAGGGTAGTTAGAATTATGGATGACCATGGGAATTGATTACAGCAAACAGGGTTTAGTGTGTACCTGGTTTAAAAATTAACTAGCAGTTCTGCGTGAGTAACAAGTGAACACAAGGGCTTTGTTAAATGAAAAGTCAAGCACTTAACCCTTAGGGAACAACAGGGAATTCAGTTATCAGGAAGGACAATACTGTCCATGTTAGGTTCTCCAGCTAGACAGACCATACAAATCTCCCATTGCAGCAACCAGCTGCTTATGCTCCAACCATACCAGAATAATGAAGATTGGATGCCACAAATCAGCCACCAAAAAAGAATGTGCCCTGTAATTTTAAAGACTAGTAAAGTGCTGCTTTTGTGTATACCACATCATAACTAGTTGATATCTGTTTGGGAGGCCATTCTGTGTATAGATCACTCTGTGTGAAGATGAACTTCTACGTCTTGTTTTCTTGGGTTTTCTGCCCAAAGGAAAGCCTGACCCACAGGGTCATGGCCTCCACCGTGGTAGGACGAGGAGACAAAGGTGCAAATCCACTCCAGTCGGATAGAGGATCAAACCCAATTTGTTGGCACCAAGCTGATCCAGTCCGGATGTCCAGCCAACTGGCCTTTGACAACATGCACTTTTACATACATGTTGTAGTCTAGAGCTATGGATACTGATGGCAGGAGCTTCAATTTCTTTCAATCACATGGTTGACTTGGAATCTCTTGCTCTTTTCATGTGTCATTGCCACGTGTTAGAAGGATTTGCAGGTTGATAATCAACCTGTTTAGCTGCATTATGAATGCATTTACTTTGGCCATTAAACACTGGAATGGGACTGGAACACAGAGTTTCCGACTGAAAGACAGGGATGCTACCCATTGCGCCATAAGACCTCCCTAACTTCTAGATATCCGTCCTAAATTTAACCTTTCAACACACCCATTGACCAGCTGTAAAATCATCCTTTAAAAGTCCCATTTCTAAATTGAAAGCCAAATCTGTACAGCCTTCCCTCACAGTCCAGACACTTGATACATTCTGTACCAGTCACTCCCTTGTTTCTTAGTGAGTAGAATTGAGCACAATATTCAAGGTGTGGTCTGACCAAAACTTGGCACATTTTGGCTATGACTTCTATTCTGCAGTTTTGGCTTAGAGCTCAATATTCTATTCCCAGTGGAGTACAGCACGCCAAAATATTTAACAAAAATTTAAAAATGATGATATGTTGATGTGCTATTTCCTCTGATTGTGGAGTTGGCGGTAGAGGTCATCTATTTAAATCTGCCAATGAAGTAAGGGAGCAGAGAGATTTGGAAAATATCTTCACTCAAAGAATTATTGGAACAAAGAATATTTTGCTACAGGAAGTGACCGAGACAGAGACTTTAGTATCTTTTAATAGAAAGTTGAATAAATATTTGAAACAGGACAACAGAGACAAAGCAGTGCAGTGAGATTAGCTAGGAAATGCTGCAGGAAAGAATCAACATAGGCACAATGGGCCAAATAGATGTTGTAAACCTGCATGAATCCTGAGTTAGGGAAATCATGAAATTTTATCTAAAACCGAGTTCTGAGGGTCACCTGACCTGAAACGTTAATTCTGATTTTTCTTCTTCACAGATACTGCCAGGCTTGCTGAGCTTTTCCAGCAACTTCTGTTTTTGTTCATAAAATGTTATCCCCTAGCTCTACATACAGCTCAATAATTTCAGCCTCCTGGTTAGGGAGGAATAAACCAAGGTTGCTTTGAGTCCTGATATTATCATTCAGCTTCTTCTAAAGTGGATAAACTGACTTTGCTGTCTTAATCCTGAAAATGAACTTTCCACACAGTTTCTTCAGGAGACAAGAACTTTTATTTTAAAGAATCAAGACAAGGATGAATAATATGACAGCCCATCACCATCTTCTCAAGGGCAACTAGGAATGGACAATAAATGCTGGCACAACCAACAAACTCCAGCATTACCATGCATGAACATTAACAAAAAGTGACTGCTTAAAGAGTAGGGATAATTACACTGCTCTAGAAATTAAGTGAATTGGATTGAGTTCACCTGAGAGGTTGGGAGAAAAATAAAGGTGTGGCAATGGCTGAAGAATTTAGTTAATAAAAAAAAAAATTTCAGACCCCAAAGTCATGTTTTAATACCACACCTATGAAAAATTTCCTCTTCTATATCCAGGAGCCTGATTCCCCACTTGTGGCAAGTAACATAGGAGACACAAAACCTTTGTGAATGGCCTGGGGTGACCTCATCTGGAGTAGTTCGATCGCAACGCGATCTATTTGAAGGATTCATTATAAGAACCCATTTTAACACGTTTTATAAAACTTAATTTTTTATTTGTAAAAAAAAAAAAAAATGCGTCATTCACTACATCTATTTAAATCACACCAAAAACAAACCGCGCCTTTTACCTCTTTGATCATCATCATCATATTTCCATCGTCGGACGTTTCTCTCGACAAGATCCTTCTCCAGGAATTGCCCGGGGTCCCCATCATTCCGCCTCTGAACTAAGCCTCCTGTTGCCTTTCGAAAATAAATTGATCACAAAGTTATTAAGGACGCCAGAGCCTTTGGAGAAGCTTTCCACCAATCCTTCAGTGAGGAGATTTACTTGGCGTGCAATCCTGTCACATTCGTGGCTTCATTCGTTACAATGTACAGCATTCCCCGTCTCTGGCCCGATCAAGCCTGTTTAAATAACGAAAACATTGACTTTAAAAGGCTCCTCGCGCAGCCACTCGCACTGTCGAAAGGTATTTCTGGATTGCAACAGTACCACCAGTCACGCCTGCAACTCGGTAGGCTTTTGGGTCCTAGCGCCGGGAGTTATAGAGACAGAGCGGAGCATCCATTGGCCCCACTTTAATAAAAAAAAAACTTGCATATCATTGATTGTCTAGAAATTTGAATGGGAGAGGCAGAGGAAGGTTGCAAAGCCGCAGCCATCCCCCGCGCCCCAAAAGTAAAGCAACAGGGTTACAGATTTTTTTTTCCTCCAGTAAAAAATGCGAGTCTTGACATGCCTTTTCAGAGTTTGGCAAAAGGTAATCCAATAGATCTTATAACTAAAGGTAAAATTACAAAACAAAATCAAAATTAAATTTACAAAACTACATTAGCATTCCCGAAGGTATGCAGTTGTCAAAAACAAGATGTACAGCAATTAACTTGGGAACAGGAAAGAGGCCATTTTGCTTCTCAAGCCACGATTCAATTAGATCCTAGATGACCTCAACTCCATTTAATTCCGCATTCCTTATTACCTTTCTCTTTAAAAAATTCCTCTCAGGTTTGAAAATGCTAATCCCAAGTATTTCAGAGGAAGACAATTTAGTTGTATAAAAGTTCTGATCAGACACATCTGGAGTGTTGCACTCATATTTGAGACACCAAACTTAAGGAACAAAATGTTACATGAAATTACTTGTGTGATTTGATTGAGGTGTTCAAAAAAGATTGAATAGGTTAAATACAGATAAACTACTTCCACTGGTGGGGTAACACCATAATCTTAAAGCTAGGTCAGCTGTGAAGTCAGGAAGCATGGGCTCACCGCAAGTTTGTAGAAAACTGGATCCTCCTGTGAAATACTAGGGACTTCATGTTTAGGCCTGTGGGAATTACAGACATTATACTAATAGTCTTTACTGCTGTATCCACAACATTTAAAAAAAATAGTTAGAAATACCAGGATCTGGGTTTACAGACACAAATATTGTATTTCTTTGAAATCAGTATTTCATTATGGAGAATGGGAAAGGAGAAGGAAGAGGAAAAAAAGACTAAAAATCCAGGAGTACACCTTTAAGATTTGCAAATTTTATTTTCATGCAATATCATGACATACCTAAAAAAAACAGGATACTTGACTTTCCCGTATACTTGGTAAGCAATCAAGCAATACGCTAACAATCCACTCAGATATAGGAAGTCACATGTTTGTCCAAACTTAATGCAATGTCAGCAATACAGAGTTGAATCTGGAATATCATTGTGACTTCAGGAATCTTAGCATACCCTCAGGATTAGTGTATGTTATTGGATTCATGGGAAGCACAACCAGAAAGATAGAAACATGAAAAAATAGTAAGCCATTCAGAACATTTGTGGCTGATCGTGCAACTCTATCATGTTCCTGCTTTCTCCCCATACTTTATGGCTAAAGCGATCAAAGAGCAAGAGGAAGACAAATGGAATTTTACACTTATTGCAAAAAGGAATAGAGTATAAAAGCCAGGAAGCTTTGTTGAAACTGTACAAGGCATTAGCAAGACCACATCTGGAGTATTGCATACAATTTTGGCCTGCTTGGAGGGGGAAATGTAATTGCATTGGAGACCATTCAGAGGAGGCTCACCAATTTGATTCCAGAGATGAGGGGTTTTATGTATGAACAGAGATTGAGCAGTTTAGTCCTATACTCCCTAGAGGAGACCTAATTATTAATTCCCTTTAACATTTTTTATATACTTCAAAGTAAACTTAGAAAGGATACTTCCTCATGTGAGGCAATCTAGAACAAGAGGTCAGTTTTAGGATAAAGGGGTAGCAGATTTAAAATAGAGATGAGAAAGAATTACTTCTTTCAAAAGGATTGTGAATCTGTGGAATTCACTACCCCTGAGTGAGATGGATCCTGGGACATGAGTAAATTTAGGATATATTAGTATAGACTAATTAGTAATGCATTGAAGAGTTATGGAGAACAGGCAGGAAAGTGGAGTTGAAGAAGAGACAAGATCAGCTATGATCATATTAAAGTGGCAGAACAAGCTCAATGGGCTGAATGGCCTACTTCTGGTCCCACTGCTTAGATGTAGTTGTTAGCTCTAAATATAACCTAACTCTTTCTTGAAAACATTCAATGTTTTGGCCTTAACTGCTTTCTGCAGCAGAAAACGTTACAGGCTCAATTCTCTGGATGAAGAAATTTCTCCTCATCTCAATCCTATGGCCTACCCCATATTCTTAAAATGTGACCCCTGGATCTGGACTCCTGGTCATCAGGAAAATCCTTCCTCTGTTTACCATCTAGCCCTGTTAGAAATTTATAGGTTTGAGTTCTCCTGCCTCCCCTCCCACCCCAATTCTTCTAAACACCAATGAATATAGTCCTAATCAATCCAGTTTCCCTTCATGTCCGTCCTACCACCTCAGGAATCAGTCTGGTAAACCTTCAGTTCACTCTCTCCATCACCAGAACATCCTTCCTCAGATAAGGAGATCAAAACTGCACTGAACACTCCAGGTGTGGTCTCACCAAGGCCCTGTACAATTTCAGCAAGACACCCCTACACCTGTACTCTAATCCTATCGCCAGCCAACATACCATATGATCTGCCTGTTTTTGTGACTGAAGTGGATAATTCACATTTATTCAGATTATACTTCATGGGCCTTGCATTTGCCCACTCACTCAACTGGTCTAAATCACAATGAAGCATCTCTGCATCCCCCTCACAGTTCACCCTCCCATTTCGCTTTGTATCATCTGCAAACTTGGAGATATTACCTTTAGTTTCCTCATCTAAATAGTTTACATATACTGAAAATAGGTGGGGTCCAAGCACTGATCCTGATAGCACTCCACTAGTCACTACCTGGCACTGAAGAAAAGACTCATTCATGCCTAATGTTTCCTGTCTACCAACCAGTTCTTTCATTTCAGTACATTAAAGTGCATAGGATTGAAAGTAATTTCATATGCTAATCTTAATTGGAACCTTATAAAAAGCCTTCTGAAAGTGTAAGTAAACCATATCCACCAGCTCCCCTTTAAATCAACTTCCAGTTACATCTTTGAAAAATAAGAAAAATTTGTCAAGCATGATGTTTCATAAATGCTGACTCTTTGATCCTATCACAGTTTTCCAAGTGCTCCATTATTAAATCTTCTATAATGGATTCTACCAATGTTGGGCTAACTGGTCCATGGACACCCAATGATTTGATTGTTCATGCTACCTCTATTCTCCCTCAGTTTTATGCTGAAGTCATGACTAGGAGCCCAAATCCACCATAAAACCTCTGATCCAAAGGCAAAAAGCATTGTCAACCAAGCCAAGACAACATTGTTAGATCTCCATTGTACCTAATGGAACCACAATGATCTACAGCAGTTCTGGAATGTCTTCAATCTTATTCTTAAGCCAGTGCATTCAAAAAGAAAAAGAATAGTAGAGGTATGAGAAAAGAGAAATGTAAAAAACAAAAAGTGGTGAGAAGATGGAACCAGAAGTGATACCAGTGGAGCATAAACAGCAACTCAAACTAGCTAGGCCAAATGGCCTGTTTTTCTGCTGCACTGTCTTTGATTCTACACCACAATTTTTGTTACACTTTGTTGTCATTACCCAATACCACCCTGTGGCGGGTCAGCAATATCCTTCCTTCAATAGGAGACAATGAGAACTGCAGATGCCAGTCAATAAGAGTTGGATAAACACAGCAGGTCAGAACATCTTGGGCTGAAACCCTTTGTCAGGACTTGTTCAATAGTTGAGGCTCAACATGAAAGCTAATGATATAGTCAGATCAAGAAAGTATACATTTCCTTTGCAGAAAGTGACATTGAGTTTTAGAAGGGAAAAGCAATCAGAATGGCTAATTGTATTTTAAACATTAACTTTTAATCTAAGCCAGTATTCAAAACACACAGACTATTTCATGATAATTTTCTCCACAACTTGAAACTCCTTGCGAGAAGGCAGTGCCTCCAATTCTCTACACTCAAATCAACAAACAGGGTAATGACTTCACTCACTGAAGCTAACCTGGGGGGGAGGGGAAGGGTGTGAAGGAAGGAATGAAAACAGGAGTAGGGTTGCTCTTGCAAGAGCATGCTGAAGTTGTGCATCAGCATACATCAAGAGGCTGACTGGCAAAAGAAGTAGGTAAAAGGCATAAACAGGCTAGTGTATTTGGACAAGAAGATCGATAGAGACTTCTAGTTGATTTCTAAGTCAGCACACTGCTCATGCTCACTTCTACACTTCACCTACTATAGCATTCCAATGAAAATCAGAACAAACTTGAGGAACAGCACCTCAACTTTCAGCCTTCTGGACTCTTTCTAATCTGAAACTGCTATAGTTTCCCATTTCAATCAAGTACCATTTGAATCTGTCACCTTTTGCTTTCAAACAGCTGTTTAGCTGTTCTAACCTTTAGATACTATAGAATACTTTGCCTTCACTATAATTACCACTCCCTTGCTTTTTTTCTAATTACATTGTAGCCATTTATTCTGCCCTACCCCAGACCCTGAATATTAAACTCCATGCCAAATGAAAAAGGGACAAGTTACTACAGGCCCTATTTTCAGTACTTTACAAAACATGCAGATCAGGTACAAAGTAACCAAAAAGATGGGGGAAAAGAAGAAAGAGACAAAGAGGGAAGTCTTGCTTATAAAAGTAAGACTAGCTGGAATAGGGCTGGGGGAATTGTAACCAAAAAAAAACCTGCACTACATTGGGGCAGACTAGATGTT